TCTCTCTCTCTTTAATTTTTAATTCAAATTTGCTTTCTTGGCATGGTGAATCAAAACAACTGTTTTGCCAAATCATGAGGTAAAAATAGTGGCAATATAGTAATAGGCATATGGTAATGGTAATAGTGGTAAAAGTTAACATAGAATAATTACTATATAATTGAGTTAATAAACATTCAGTTCTCGGTTCATTTAGCAGAGCACATAAAAACAACAACTAAAACCTCATAACAGTGCAGAAATAAATATGCTTTTTTACAGTGATGAAGAAGGTAAGTGCTACTGTCGTACGTGTGAGCAGACAATGTGCTTGCATAGGTGCAAGTTAACAATTACCTTTTTTGTATTGCATACAAAATGGAAATTTGAATCTACTGTAGTTTTCCCCTCTGAGGGAGGATGATCTAACAATCTTTGACAGGCTTTGTTTTTTATATTCAGGTTGCCATAGCAGGATGAACATACTTCTCATATCCCTCAAAATTTACATATTCATGAGATGCATTCTTCACATTAGATTACTTATTATGTATTTTTCATCATATATTGGCAGGAGAAGACATCCAATATCCTGGTGGCAGTGTTTACAACCACTTCCCTATCTTGGACTCCCATATTTCACTAATCCACAAAGAAAGAGACTCTTATTCGGAAAAACATTTTTATCGGAGGATGCCGAGACAAAGATCTGAGCACAATGAAGTCCTTCAAGCTAGCTCTGTGTTACCATGGTAACGCTAACATGCAGCCTCAATGGTGGCCTAGATAGATAGTTTGATGCCCATGGCACTTTTCCCTCCAATAATTCACTTTTAGGAATTTATTACACAAAATATATACATTTGAGGGTGGATCTTTACATGCTTTGTTATTCAGAAGCTGACACATTTGACACTTAAAAAAAATTCCTTACACTGATTGTAAGAAATCCGGAGAGGCAAGTGAAAAGAATATGGTGATCCATTTTTCGAAGTCTGATCTAAAGTTTGTTTTCCCTGTGTTTAAGATCAGGTAAAAAAAAATATATATATATATTTGTTTTCAACTGTGAAACAAGTTGGGGGAAATATTTGAAAAATGTTTCTTCAAGTGAGTTTTAATTCTCCCATGCACTGCAGTTTGAATTGTTCCATGTAGTAATATATATGCTGTTTGGATTAAAATAAACATTCGTATATAAAATCCTTAAGACAATGTTTTGTTCTGATAAACACAATTGTCTCTATCATGGTCTAATACCATGTTTTTCATTATTGTAGTCTAACAACATTCTGTCATTTGCTTTATTTTATTTTATGAATAGCTTGCATGGAGGCAAACATTTCAGATACTGTACATTTTTGGATTATTTGGGGTAAATATCATATTCAAACTTGAAAGTGGAAAGACCTTTGTCCTTCTTTCGCCTATCATGTCATATCATGTTTAATTTAGCCAACTAGACTTAAAGTCGCTGAAATACTTATAATCTTATAATAAATAATCAAAACATTGAATTACTTGATGGTTTCTATTTTCGTAATGTTGTTTTGTGTTTCCCAATAGATTTTCAGAATAATTGTACAATTATTGTTTATGATAGATTGTGTTGCATATAGATCCTTTGTGTTAAATGTATTACAATACAAAATATACATTTATTGTTTCTATTTTTTCTTGTTTATTTATTTTTTACATAGGCCTGTATATTTATCTCTATTAATTTTTATAATAATGGTTCCACAATTATTTATAGACTGTGTTGTTGCACAATTTCCACCATTGTTGATTGATGACTATCATTTGTCTTTGTATTTGAGTTCCCTGTCTTGTTTTGTAAAAATTCCTGGTGTTAAATTGATTAAAATATGAAATCTAAATTCCTCTGAGAGTACCAATGTGAACCACAGGAGGGCGACATAACACACAAGATCCACCATGAACCGGACATCACCATTGTACCTGTTACACCCACCGCTCACTCGTTTTCTAATCTACTAACGTTCATTAACGGTTGATTCGTGTTTACTTTTTAAAATTCACCGGTTTACACCGCTTATATGTTCACAACTGAAGCATTAAATACTTCATTAGCATCCACGTTGGTCTACAGTGGCAGACGTCAGCTAGCATTACCGGTTTTATAAATATCTGCGTTTTGACATGAAAGAGGTGATATTATCAGAGGCTGGTGGTTAACTAACAAATAACGGCGTCTGTACTTGAATCACTTGTGGGCCACTTGGAGAAATTCTCCTCTCTCTCCAGCTTTTTTTATCCTCGTCCAAACTGTCGGTATCCTCATGCTGGTAGTTGTAGTTTTAATCGTTTCCCCACCAAATCTGTCCTAGTACGACGTGATACGCTAATAAGACTACATTTCCCAGCATCCCTCCTCCGGCCGCGCCTCCTTCCTCCACTTCCCTCCGCCTTCCCTCCCACTCCACTGGGCCGCGAGGAAGTCGCAAGATGGCTGATGTCGCTTGGAAGTAATGTTCCCCTCTGCAACATGAAGCCGTGAGTGTGGAAGACAGCGAGGGAGGCACCATCGGGCTTTTATTTTAATTTAATTTTAGTTACTTTTCTTTTATTTCGTTAAACATCCATCTCATTCCGCGTCGTGTCGGCCCCGGACTTGTCTTCGGGAGTTGACGCGTCAAATCACGCCGGGGACCCTGCCAGCAGCTAACGGCTAACGATCACTTAGCAACTGTTAGTGCAGCTAGCCAGGCACACCGCTTGCTAGTTTGTTTTAATTCATATTCTGACACCTGCAAACCAACAAGCTACCGATACAAGCGCGGTGATATTTGCCGGAGGTAGTGCAGATTAAATGTCAAATATTTCAGCTGTCAGGTAAAAAAAAAAACGATTTAGAAAGCTGCTCGGTTTAACATCATGTCCGCGAACTGGCCATCCAGCCTGTGGGTTGCTAACTAATGCGCAGTATTGCATCTGTTTCATGTGCACAAACTAGCAGGGTAATTGTTTTATTTGCAATTTTTTAACACCATCAACCACCTTGCTGCATTTCCGTTACTTGCTGCCAACTACATTTTTGAAGCTGGTTATGTTAAAGCCAAATTATGGGAGCAGGAAATGTGTTGAACTTTTTCTGGTGGTAGGTAGCTACACTGGCCTTGCTGGCATCTCACCAAAAATCCACAGGGATGGACACTAAACTGAGCACCCACGACCAAAACTGAGAAATTCGCAGTTCGATATCTCGGAATCAGTAACAATAGCTGACACACGTGTACATCAGTGCATGGTGACTGATTTCACTAATCTGGGTGACAGATAAGTTGTTTTGCAGGGTTAACTAAACTACAGTTTTTCACTGAATCGGAGACCAGTTAGCTTGCCTAAAGTGCACAGCTAGCTCCGGTCTCGCCCCACATTACATTACAAACACGGCGTACAGAACGTATTCAGAGCCCTCTCCCGGCCAGACACACAGGCTGAACAACACCGTCATGGGAGTGCAGGGTTTTCAAGAGTATTTAGAGAAGCGGTGTCCCGGGGCCGCAGTCCCGGTGGACCTCCTGAAGCTTGCCCGTACCGCGGCCCGCCAGCCCCCTCACCACCATCACCCACACCACCACCCACATCACCCCGGGCCCATGCCTCCCCCGCCCCCGCCTGCCAGGATCCTAATCGACGCTGACTCCGGCCTGCAGCGCCTCTACGGCGGCTACCAGACGGACTGGGTGTGCGGGGGAGAGTGGAACGCCATGCTGGGCTACCTGGCCGCCCTGTCGCAGGCCTGCCTGTACCAGGGGGGCCTGGAGCTGGTCGTGGTTTTCAACGGCACACTGGGGAAGGAGCGCTGGCCCGAGTGGGCGCGGCGAGCTCAGGGCCAGCGACAGACCGCGCAGCTGATAGTCAACCACGTCGGCAGCAAGGCCACCCCGCCTCCCAGAGCATGGTTCCTGCCCCCGGCCTGCCTCAGCCACTGCGTCCGCCTCGCCATGTTCCGCTTCCGAGTGCGGGTGAGCCATGTGTGATCAAAGCTGTGTTAAGTTGTTTTATTGTGGTAATGTGCTGTGCTGTTAATTTAACACTTGCCCTTTCTTGTTGCACGCCCATTTAGCAGTTTACATCATCCAGCGCCGTGTTAACTCCTTCCAGTTGAGGAACAAGTGCACATATGAGCCCTAAGAACTTAAGCAAAACACACATAATCTATCAAACGGGCTGTTTTTGCATTGTCAGTTTTAAACCAGCAGAGTATATATATCTATATCAGTGATGCATTGCCTTATCTGCTCTCCTTTATTTGTGCTGGTCTACTGGGAGGAGAAATGTATCCGGTGCTAATGTGGAGCAGCATCTACCGGCAAAACCAGTCTGTGCATTAGAGCAACATGTATTGCGCAACATGACCTAGACCAGCCTATATATTACATAACATGAACTCATTGAACCCTTTATACATTGTTGAACAACTGCTGAGTGGATAGACTATTAATAGGCCCCTGTTGCCTGACAGTGGCACATTCATAATGATTTGTTTTGCATTTCAGTTAATGGATGATTGAGAATATTTAAATAAATAAAAATGTCTGCATCTGACCTATTTTCAAGAATATTTGCTATGGTTAAAACTATAGTAGCTGGGTGTACTATAATCATCTTAAACAAAAAAAAGTTAAAATGGGTTTGAGAACGGAAATGTGACTCATAAGGTTAGGTTCTAGGCCTGCCATGAATGCATCAAAATCACTGATTGACTCTCATCGTTCGCTCCTGTCAACATTACTATTTTATCTTTTGACATACCTGCCTATCTGCTTGCATGATAGTATTTATTTATACTTTTTTTTTTAAAAGCAACAGAGTACCGTGACATGATAGAGAACAGAAAAATCCCACCCACATTACAGTAAAACACATTCTGCCACTGTCTGTGTGTGTGTGTGTGTGTGTAACATCATTACTCACTGTTCCCATGTGTACTTTCTGTTTTTCCGACCTGTATTCTGAGATACAGTCCTATTTCTGCGGCTTAAAATATATGTTCTCGGCTTGAATGGCACCTTTACTGAAGTCATTACTCTTCCTCTGTCACTTTCTCAGCTTTACATGTGCTGCATGCCAGCTAGTTTGTCATTTTCTAATTATTGTGATATTTTATTCTGGATGTTAACATTGGTATTTAGTTTCAGTTTGATTATGAATCAGTGTGACACAATACACGTTGGGCGATTTTGAATAGTTGTGAAACAGCTTATCATACTCAGCCATCATTGCCACATGTTGCATTCATTTGAAGACAGGTTTGATTACCAGCTCATCAAACCGATGTGGAATATATCTGAGTATAATTATTTAGTTTTCATTCTCATTAGCGCTGACATAGTTAAACGAGATTAACATTACAAGTCTGAAGCTCTCATGCTCGCTCTCTGGTGTAGTCGTGCACCTCACCCTCCAATGGGTTCTGCATGAGTGGGCTCTGAACACTTGTGTTGCCCTAGGTCCAAGTGTCTGTATCACTACCAGTGATTTAGAACCGTATGGTGCTGCACAGATTTTCTATAGATGTATTTCCGCAAGTGCTATGAAGCTTAAGTATTTTGAGAGTATACAAAGTGGCAGCACCACTGGCCGTCCGTGACCTCTATCCTGGTCCATTCAGTATGCAGTGATTGCTTTGGCAGCTGATCAGTCTCCCAGATCCATCATTGTACAGAAGGTGGAAGAATATAGCAAACTTTATTGAATTTAACTATTGCAATAAACTTTATAATGTACTCAGTTCTGCCTTTCATTTGCTTTTGGTATTGAATTAAAAAGTATATATTGTGCAGTTTTAAATGTAGGACTGCACATTATCGTACATTTCATGTTATTTTCTCTATTTTATAGCTGAATTGATAGTTTTTGTTTTTATAAAAAATGGCCACCACAATTTTCCCGATGGCACTGTCACCATTGCTTTGACAAGTGTACTCCTTGTAGAATAAAAGAACAAGAACATGACTTAAATATTATACTCACTCAATGCATCCCAAATGCTATTTACCAAGCTATTCATCCCAAGTTCAATGTTAACATCTGAATCTGTTGGTGAAAGAGTACTCAAGTGTATTCCCATATTTAAACATTACATACATAACTATGCAGTTCTCCAACCATGTGTTCTTTAGCAAAATACATTATACATTATACTAGAATTTAACAGAATACAAAAACACTTAAAACCCAAACCAAATATAAAGAAACAAAATCTTCTGAAGAGCTGAAACTAAACTAAAAACAACAAGGTAATAAACAAAAAGACATGAAATTCAGAGTTTTGGTGTTTTGCAAATCCACAGGTTGTACAGACTTTGGAGGACCACCACCAGGAAGTGCTGTCTCTTTACAGAGACTTTGGATTTTCCGGCCTGATCGCTCAGGATTCTGAGTTTGCTCTCTGCAACGTACCCGCCTACTTCTCGTCGCACGGGCTCAAACTGAGCTGGAACGGCAAGAACCTGACCACACACCAGTACCTGCTGTCTGAGGCCGCCAGGCAGCTCGGGCTGAAGACACAGCACCTGCCCTGCTTTGCTGCTCTGCTGGGTAATTATCACCGCGCTCCCACATACCTCAGTGGACACGCTTTGTGTTTCTGGCACACCTTTTTGTCTGTTTGACTTTTCTATTGAAGCAGCAAACATGAAAGAGTTTCTGTCTCGCAGGAAATCATATTCTGCCTGATGAGGACCTGGCTGCCTTCCACTGGAGTCTGCTGGGACCAGAACACCCTCTCGCTTCTCTCAAGGTACCACATTAAGTCCTCTGCAAACCACAGCCTAATTTAAAAGTATACGAACTCTAATAATCACATTATAAAGTAATTAGTCAATTAGTGAAGGGAGCCCTGATTTACCGTTTTAAATATAAACATAAGCACCGGAGCTTTTATATCAAATCTCCATATTGTAATAAAAGTATATTTTTTATATTAGATAAAAGCTTTCCTGTTTTCCATTGACTGGTCTTTAACAGGAAAATCCTCTTAGAAGCTTTTATTGTGAAACATGTAGGAAATTATGACTTTTAAACAATTATAGAAATTAATGGAATAAATATGTGATTAACATAAAAATCCAGTTTAGCTATCAGGAGAAATCCGTGTACTTGTTGCAGCTTAAAGGTAGGGTAGGTAATTCACTTCAGAAACACTTTTTGTTATATTCCATGGAATGCTCTTAACATCCTGATAGCAATGAATATCTTATAGAATAGAATCAGGGATGAAACGGCTCTTTAATGGTCACACGTGCAGAGCACACAGACACAGTGACAATTAGCCTCTGCATTTAACCCATCCGACTACCAGGAGTCTAGTAGTAGGAGCAGTGGGCAGCTATTGTACAGTGTCCGTGGAGTAATAGGAGTGAGGGGGGAAGTGGGCTGTCCGGTGCCTTGCTCAAGGGCATCGCGGCAGGGCCCGGGAGGTGAACTGGGACCACCAAGTAGAAGTCCATACTCCATATTTAGTTCTGTTCGGGGACTTGAACCGGCGACCCTACGGCTCACAGTCCAAGCCCCTACTGACTGAGCCACTGCCGGATTGTTAAATGCTTTGACAATAAATATATAAAAATATGTCATCTGTGGAAGCCGTGGCGCTGTAAAAAGCAAGTCCAATTATCTGCCTCGGCCCGCGGCAGATAACTGGATGGCCTACCTGCCTGTCAGCCTTCCATCTGTGCACAAACTTATCTCGTGCCCTCATTGGTCATGTGCGCGTTCGTGTGTGTTGGAGGAGGGGCTCTGTAAGGAAGTCTGAAGGAAGGGGCAGATTTTTTTCGGTTGTGTTCTTTCAAATTCTAGCTTACTCGAGCTGATTTCTCCTTTCTTACCTACCCTACCTTTAAGTGGTGTTTCATAGGATAAGGTTCTGAAATAAGATTAATTGTGTGCGGGATTGCATTATCAGCGATATTGTAACATATCTACTAGGGCTGTCCCGAATACCCTTTTTCGGGCTCCGGATATTCGGTAGTAATCAGAAGCGAATATTCGTTGCAGAGAGATTTGTATTTTTTTTTTTATAAATGTTTTTTCCAAAAGGTTTCATAACACGCTCCAAATCCGAGACACCTGACAACACGCTGTTAAGCAGAAAGAGCATACTATTACGATTTATATTTATTTATTGTCTCAGTACTCGCAAACATTAAAACTAAATGTGTCCTCTGTAGGGTAACTGTAGGGTCTGCTGTATTGTTGAGGATGTTGATGGCTGGGATGCACCTATGGACACAAGTTATTATTGGGCTGAGCTACTCAACTTTATGCCATTGCCTTAGCCCCAGATGTTCCCACATTACTACTATTATTCTCACTATTCGGATAAAATTAAAAAAACTAATATAAAAAAACAATTCGGTTGCTTGCTTGTAACTATTTTCCAAGCAAAGCAAGTGCACGTTTTTATCATGTGTAACGTTACTGTTTAAACGGCGGATAAAGCAGCTTCATCATGGCAACTTGACAACAGCTAAGCTAAGCTAGGCTACTACTTACAGCATCCAGGTGACTTTTCAGAGTTGTTGTGCCACCGTGGTAGGCCAGTTTCTTATCGCATATATTTGGCACATATTGTTCTTACCGTCGTCCAATTTAAAATGGTCCCACACAGCTGAAGTCTTCGGCATTTTGTGGGTGAAGCGAGGTGAAGCGTGCCGTTTGCGTTTGTGACTGTGAGTGAACGCGATGTCAGGAGCACAGGCTGAGATTGTATATATTTCCGCATTTTAACAGTGCAATTCAAAAATATAAATATAGTATAAGAATATGGCAATTCGCCTTTATTAATAGCATACATTTAGAAGAAAAAACGAATAAATTCTTTTGGAAAAAAAGAAATCTCCGAATAATGAAAATTGATCCCGAATAGTTGGCCAACGAACGAATATTCGAATAGTCGATATATCTCGGGTACAGCCCTAATATCTATCCGTGCACCAGTATCTATCATATCATCTTACCCTACCTCCCCACCCTTACCAGGCGTATGTGTATTTAAAACCTGTTTTCTGTTCTCTCTCCTCAGGCGTGCGAGCCCACCATTTGGTGCTGCCGCCCTGTGAGGTGGTGATCAAGGCCGTCTCAGAGTACGTCTCCTCCATCAAAGACCTGGGAAACCTCGACGCCATCGCCAGAGATGTCTTCAAACAGTCACAGGTGGGTCCTCTCCCCCTCTGACAGTGATGTGTTTCTGTTAACCCTTTTTTGAGTTAAATTGGATTGAAATAGATTCATGTTTTCCGTCTGATTGACATGCC